GAGTTGATCTTAGGGCCGACAATTTTGGTTCGGATGAAGCTGCATGCGGCGAGGCATGCGGTCATGTCGACTGTAGCTGCAAATGTTTAACTACAAAAGGGGCGTGTGGCTGGTGGCGTCGGACATCGTATGTTGCCCCATTTGTGACCACATTTTTGTGTCCATGAACAGGGACGTGTACCGCTTGTCGCCGCGACACGAGTTGTCGCTTGGACGCCTGCGAGGTAGGCCACGGCTCCTCTCTAAGGCGTCTGTCGTGACGGGGACTTTACGAGGTAATTTACATTATACCAGGTGGCTGATTCACGCCGCGCACTTCCATAGTTATATTGTACCGCATGCACGCGTGCGGGCGGGTTGCCTACTTGTTCGGCTCGTTCGTAAGGCGCCGTGGACAGGGGCGATAGGCAAGCCCGCCCGCACTCGTGCATGTGGTACAGTATACCTACAGATGTGCGCGGCGTAAATCAGCCACCTGGTATGTACTTCGTCCTTCTGGTTCTAATTTAACACGCTTGATCTTCCCCTGGTTTGGATTGGAAAGGACAAAGGTGAACCACCCTTTACAACCCTCACATGAGACAAGAAACAAGGGGCTAAATATAAGCTGTTTGACTTGTGGGACAGGTTGTCTGTCTCCTTGACAGGGTTGCCACGAAGTCCCAGTTTCCGAATATCCTGACATTTTCCTGACCAAATCCTGACGAAAAAGTGACTTTATCCTGACATTTTCAGAACAAGTTGACAGCAAAATAGCGCCATTTTTCAGGGGTTAAGAAAAAAATTGGGTATTTTTTTTTAGGAAAAATATATCAGAGTGGCGCACTACCACAGCGCCACGCCTCTGGCCGAAGTAGCGCCGAGCATCAGGGCGATAACCGGTACAAACCATTTATCCTGACACTTTAACCCCAAAATCCTGACATTATCCTGATTATCCTGACAACTTTTGAACATCCTGACAAAATCCTGATTGTCATGATTATCCTGACGCGTGGCAACCCTGCTTGAGAAAGATATCTACCATGAACTTCTTAAATATTTACTGGGGATGGTTTTGTGTTATCAAAACGCCAAGGTAACAGATATACACAAACAAGAAATAATTTCAGTCGCTTTATGACACAACGTGAACACTTGTCTTTTGTTTACAAGGTTGAATGAATGAGGCAAGGAAATGAAAACTGAATTTCATGCAACAATGACAACATTTAAAACTGTACAGCTACATTCAGCAATAATAAAACATAAAAATAATTGCACGGATGGCAACATGTTATAGTTACTTTCATGTTCAATCCATACAATCTAATAGCACATTAGAAATTATTCAAACAGTCTCAAAAACTTAAAAGATAAAACATAACATGAAGTAATTGTAACAAAAGTTCAACCCAGAAATGTCACAAGCAGCAAGCATTGGCAGCGAGATAACATTTAAGTGTTTAAGAACACACAAGTCACTTTCACTAGTATTACAAAACCACATTAAGAGGAGTAAAGTCTTTAACACAAGACTGCAGATTGAATACAAAGCAAAGTTTGATGTTACTAGATACAATGAAACACGGTATCAGCGTTTCCCAGATATATTGTTTCCCGTTTTTAACGTCGCATTTCTCACACTCCAAATTCCAATTTTCCAAACAAATCAACCCATTTATAGCATCGTTCTGCTTTTAAAAAGCTTAAAACACCTCACGCCGGTACACTGTAACTGGGCTTCTCTCTATTACAAAATTGACTAAGTGAGACTGCACATAACTTCCTTTGGAAAAGATCTTTTTTAACATTTTACCTCAGGGTTTACACTACCATCAAACTGTACACATCAAAGCCAGATAAAAAACTGTTGTACCTACATAGTACTTTAAAAGACTTCATCATAAAGCCAAGTACGAATGGAAACACAAATTTAATGTCAAAATAATAATTTTCTATTAAAGCATCAAGCAGTAAAATATACAAGAAGTTTGGTTTAGGTGAAATAATCACATTCTAGACTTAAATAATACTGCACTTGAACAGCATAACATCTTTTGTGGAATATGCGTTCATTTTAAATTTCACTTTATGCCAATGTAGTGCTATGTGACATTTCTGGCTACTGATAACCTGTTTATAATAATTATCACTTTGTTTGTAACTTAACAACGTCCAGCAGCTGTGCACCTGCAAGTCATTTTCAATGTCAAGCAGATAGACTATTCTCTTTCTGAATAGTAAAAGAGATACATACATATAAACATAACGTTCATTTCAAATTAGTGCCTAATAGACTTCAATCAAAGTTAAATGGTACCAACAAAACGGTAACCAAACCGCAAGGACTAGAACATAGGAGCATAGTGCACTCCGTACCCGAAGCTCCGAATGCACAAAGAAACTTAATTAAATTATGATTTGATAAATGCATTTGCCGAACTTAAAATGACAAATTTGAAGAATATTAGCACATCAAATTCAATTGGAGACGATTTTATCTTTAAGCCAATAATTTTCTGTGTCAACAGAATAAGTTTTAGCAACTGAAATGATAGAACTGATTACAGAGGGTGCCCCGGAAATGAGAGCAGAGCTGTTTATAATAAAAGGCAGCTCTGATACATTTTTTTTCTAGACAAAGTTTACAGTTTTAATCAAATTTCTTACCTTTGCAATAACTGACCAACTTTGTAATTGGAGAACAGCAAACAAAGGCGCAAGCCTTTGGTCTAAGACTCATCCTCAAGGTAAAACACATGTTTTCCTTTTAATTACTCTTGCATTTATCATGTCAAATTTTCCTTTAAAAGGACTGCACATCTAGTTGAGAACAACAATCAAATGCAAAGGCTGCAAACAAATTGTATCTAGTTCTCTGTTTAGCATCTACATTCACATCCTACAGAGTTACCTCTCTTGTAGGGTATAGCCAAACCACACTAAAAAGACATCCATCAAAATGGCATTTCAAATACTTAAACAAAGCTACACTAAAACAATACAACAGTTCAGTTATGGCTTTGGTCAATTATAAGCTAACAAATAACTCTTCTAACACAATATATATTTGTATATATGTCACACTGAAAGGAACAGCACTAGCAAGCTTTCCCATACGAAATCTAGAATAATTCATTTTTGGGAGTGGCAAAACATTTGGGTTTTGCAGAGAACATATATCTCAATCACAGTTGTTTACACACAACACTAGAAGATTACAGGTCATAACAATAAGCCAATGGGAAAATAAATGAAAGATCTGCGTCCTGGTAATCATTTCTATGGTTCAGAGAACACCTAAAACAAGGAGCTCAATTTGAGTAATTGTGTAGCTCACTGGGAATACAAAACTTGTAAATACCTTTTAAAAAGCTCTGAACAAATCACAAAGAATACAGAATTTCCAATGCTGAATTCGAAGAAAATCTGATTGTAGTAATAATTTTAATAAGTATGCTCTACGTCAGGAAACTGCTTTCATGGTTGACATTGTTTTAAAGTAAAATACGACAAACACTCGGCACAAAGCACAGGAATTTTCACACAATTACAGTTAGGCCTTGCCGCTATACATACACTACAAATGGTGAGAGCATGTCACAAACAGTATATTCAAATTAATTAGTAGGAGTTGGAAGGACATAGGAAGGCAAAGCTACAGAACACATGCATTAGTACGAATCTTTTTGTTAACATAGACTCAAAAAGGGAATCACAATTTCTTTGATACACAGTTGATCAGCAATAAAAATCATATTGAATTGTCATGTCACTTATGATCATGCACATTGTATAAGCTAGAATATAATGAAACTTTCTTTCCATTAAAAAAACAAAAACAAAAATTGACAAAACAATGGAAAGACAGTGAGAGCCTGCAAGTCTCAATGAACACATGTTGTTTGGTCATGGTGAGAATTAACCATTTAAATATCACACATGCCTGGTTGGTGAAGAGAATTGTATTTTGACACATAGTTAACTCAGCCCACAATGATAAGCTTGCAAGCTTGAAAACTGTCGGAATGAGAAATGATAAAAAATAACAAATAAGGGATGGAGGACATAAAAAAATTTAAAAAAAGTTTTGAAGTGACATTAAAGTGAAAGTAGAGGGAGGTTGCAAACATATATACAAAGCTTCGAGCAAAAACACAGGCAAAGCATCATACCTAACAGATATAAACTCTTAAAACTCTATCTGACATAAAGTTCTTTGTGAACTTACTTTTACCAAACATAAATATAGACTTTGCAGTAAAACCTTGTGGTATGAATTCAACAGACATTTTACAATCACATCATACTCACAAGATCTGATTAAACAAAGACTACTTGGAGGTACACCTGTCTTTCCACCCACTCAAGTTGAACACAGATAAAATGTATTGCCATGAGAACAATAATTATGTGCTACAAATGAAAAATAGATTGCTATTACACTACCAAATCATGACTGTAAATCTTGAGAAAGTAAGTGAAAAATGTAGATAATAGAAATTTTAAAATGAATCAAGAAAGTGTCATTTTTTCTTAACAAGTTAAAATTTCAAAATAAATTGAAATTTTAAAAGAACTTATTTGATTGAAGAAATGCATTTACTTCTGTTTCATGTCCTTAGGGGGAATCCCTATATTGTTATGAAGTCTCTTGGTATAGAGTTGTACATAAAGGATATGGCACATATTTCTGCCAAAAAGGTGCAAGGTATGTATGTATTAGGCTCAATATTAGTCAATATTGAAATCAGATAACTAAAGAAGAGGAAAACATCAAAAAAATAAACAAACATTTGAAACATAATTGAAAATAGCAATGATAACAGTGATGGCTTGGGTCAGTCATGATTTTTTTCTCTTCTTCGTGTAAGGCCTTGTACCATAGTTCAAGCCCCTGCAAATCCATAAACTTCAAGAACACGGATTTCAAAGTCACCACTTGGACACAGTGGTGGGTTGTTAAAGGTAAGACAGCGATCTGTTTTACCATATCGGATGTTTTCATCCATCCAAATAGCTTGCCCTTCACTGTCAAATAAGAATACAAACATCATAGTTTGACAACAAAAAAAAAAAATGTAAAAATTTTTAAATGTTAAAAGACCTATGTAGAAACTTACCCTCCTCCAATGGTTATCATTTTATGATCAGCAGCCAAAAACAACTCTGCAGAATGGTCTAACTGTTTTTCTCCAGGACTCTGTTCCATTCCAACCCATGGGTACTTGGCACGTTCAGGGTAAAGACTAAATAGGAATGTTTCACCAGTGCCAAAGTAAGCCTGGCGATTGCCTCTGTCATCTTTAACATTTCTTTCATACCACCGAGTAGAACAGTAAGCACCAAAGACCTGAAAACATAGAATCCAATTGAGACATCTTTTTTGTTGTTATTTTTGTTAATAGATCAGTCCTAACAGGGAGAAAATTAAACAAACCTCATTGTTGCTTGTTTTTATCATTAGTAAAGTTGGTTCATGTTGTTCAACGCGTACATAGAATGTGGTCAAACTACACCCATGTTCTTCAGTTGTATACAGTAGGATGGGTTGATACATGGTGATTCTGACAGGTAGCCATGACCATAGTGTGAACAACTGAAACAAAAAATCAAAACAACACCATTAGTTCTCTGGTATAGCATATACAATTCTCCCTTCACATAATTAGGTAATTCTCATCAGGGAGAGATCTACTCTTTTGACCAAATGTAGGAGCTAAATTCTAGAGACAAAATAAGTAAGGGGAATAGTTAAATTTAACCTGAAAATAGCACAGAAAAGCCCCAAATTATTGACTAAACAATACTGTTGCAGGACAGTTGTTGGGTTCACACACTCAACCAGTAAACAGTACGTATTATAGAAAATTTGCAACACCAAGTGAAGTGGACATAATACACACCAAACAAACAAAAATGAGCAATGATACCTGTTTAGTGATCACTAACGCTTCTTACTGGGGCAGACCAAAAACTCCTGTTGAAATAAAGAAATAAAAAATAAAACCTAATTTTGTACTAACTTGATTGCAATTAAATTTTTAACAAACATATTTCAATTGCTTTTGTTATCAGCCTAGGAGGGAAACTAGGAAATGTTGTGTTATACAAGAACTCCTGAGATGGGAATACATAACAAAATGATAAGAAGCCCCCAACATGCATTTCTTTATGAGAGTGCAGGAGGAATATAGTACGTGTCTGACAACAAATCATGAGCAAAGCGGTGATCAGGATATACACAGAGCAATCTAGTCCCAAATATTTATAAGTAATGTGCCTTTTCAAAATTGAAATATCAGAATAAATGTTGACTGGTATCGAAAGCACTTACTCACTTTAATTGCTTTAATTGTGGAAGAATATATAATGAATTCCTTGCCTTAGACTGGAATGAAAAACACCATGATGTGATGTTCTACAGTACTGCATTTTATTTTATTTTTGCTTCATGCAGGATATTGCATACTTTACTACAAAAGCCTTACCACTTAGAGAGAAAGGGTGTTGGAGGGATGCAAAGAAGCAAGCCAGTAACTTTTCAAGACTGAATGATGTTTGAAGGGACAAACTACAATACTCACTTCCTCTTGAGAAACAATAGCAGAACGGATCTTGTAGATAGGGTACACTCCCATAGCGTGAGTGCGTGGTTCAGGAGAGCGAGAACCCTTAAGGTAGCAGCAGTAAATAGACAAACAAACCATCACCATCACCCAAAGCACAACCACAATATTGTCAAGCACCTTATGGTACTTAAAAGCTGACCTTCCTCTTTTTGTCTTGGTCCTTAAAAACCAAAACCATGCAAAAATACAATACTCCTAAGGTTTGTTGCTGTAGTTAGTTTTGGACTACACTTGTATGATATTGTAATAAGAGAAAATATTAAATACTGTTCCGGCTAATAAAATTTCTTTTGAAAACAAACAAGCCCCACAAAAATGGCTGATTTTCAATGAAAACATAGTTTAAACATCATTCATTATCCTAAATGATTGAAATTTCTTCAAAACTACTGTATATAAAAATTAGATGCAAAATTTTAACTCTGTACTCCGATGGATAAACTGAGTACATAGCTCTTACAAAAGACAATAAGCACTTTGATAGGATTGAAGTCCACGACTCATAAACTAACAGTTGTAAGTAATATTGCCGGATTATCAGGTAAGCAGGGACAAATTTGAGTAAAGTTGATACAACAGCAGACATTATGATATTGTAGCTAGATGTGTAGAAGAAAGAAGTGTAATAAATTTGAAGATTTAACAGAGATTAAGGAAGAAAGAAGCATGCGACAGTCCCATCTGTCGACATTTCTTAAGGAGCATTCAGGAATAATAAGATAGATACAGAATTTCAGGCTGGTTAGCATCAGAATGAAGAGAATATCGCACAAAGGTTATTTGTTGTTTTTCATTTACCACAAACATGGAAAAATAGACCGTAATATTATCCATATAACTGGACTAGCAAAAGAATGCGGGGATGAGGAAAAATAGGAGAACTGATGCAAAGGACTCCAATTTAAGATTTTGCAAGGACAAAATTGAAACCAAAAGTCTGAAATTGAAATTTCTTATGCAACCTCTCCAACTCAACTGACTATTTTGAGAAAGTGATAAAAATATGCAAGGAACTGTCAACAGAGAACTTTGGCGAGAAAATTAAATTAAAGTGATTGCAGCAATTCTCATGAGTTATGCCTGAGCAGGAAGAACAAGGAAGTCTTCCACATCATAAATAAAGCACATTCAAAACACAGAAGATTTTTGACCATAAATTAAATTTGTCGTCAACGTCAACAGCATAATTTTAAAAAGCAGCACATCGATGTTTAAGAAATTGTCTTACCTCTCGTATTGTCAATGTATGTGAGACAAGTTGAATATTATTTTGAGACTGTGAAGTAGGTAGATTTTCAGATGACCTAGAGCGACTAATCTGCTGAGAGTTGGATAAAACTGGCTTGCTTTTCAACAGCATTTCCGTTTTAACAAATACTCTTTGAATGTATGATGAACTTAACCCTCGGACATTGAAAGCAGTTCGCAAAACTTTGGTAGGGCTCACCTGAAACACAAAAACAGTCACAAGATTTTCTAGAACAAATACAAGGAGAACCAGATTAAATGTGTTCCACAATATCACAATCGAGTACTAGCTACTCACAGGCATCTGTCTGCAGAATTTTGTTAAGGCATTATCAACACCTTGGGCAGCAAGTTCTGCACTCCATTCTGAACTTTGTGAAGTGGAATACTTGTAGAATAGGAAAAGAATTGCCATAGCTACACGGTACAGAACTTTGATGCCTTCATGAAAGAAGCAGTCCATAACACGTACCTAACAAGATAATTGGGTAAACAAAAGTATAAATACAGGCAGAACAATGCAAAATTTAAAAACCAAAGGTATATATTGAAAGCTTACTAAATGAGTAAGTGGTAACCCCTGGAGTATCCACCAAAGCCAATCAGCATATATCCTTTCCGAACGAGCATCGGAGCAGTGTCGGGCAAGATGAGCAGCAGCAGATTTCTTAAAATACAAAGGCACGTATATTACAAATGCCAAAGCCCAAAGAGAATAAAATTTCACAAATACAAATGGGTATTAAAGTATGTTACCATATGCTTTTTAGTTATAAGCATGACTGTACGCCATGTAGCTTCATAAAGAAGTTTTGTTTGTGTTATAAAAGTTTTGTCTTTTGATGAAATAAGACTTGCTAGGCTGTTGTAGCATTCTTCCTCTGCAAAGATTTCAGTAAATAAAAACTTAACATTAAAAACAGGGTCTTTTCTCAGGATTAAGAATACTAAAAAGAACAAATAGCTAAAATAATATACCTGGCATAAAGTGCAGCAACAAGGCAGCAATAGGATACAAGGCTGGGGAGTAGGTTATGTCAGGACAAGAAAAACCAAGAACACAAACTACGCGATCTGCCAAACTACGTCCTCGACGTGTCAAATGATATGGCAGACAATGTGTGTTTTCCACAAATGCTGGAAGCAACATAGGTTTATCGGATATATCTGGAAAAATCACAAGATGTATTATATTAGACATTGTCACTTAAAACGAAACCAATTTAATTGTTAATGACTCCGATAAAAACCTGTAGTGCCAAAGAGTTGATTAACCAGTTCCCAGTAGAAGCCATCTTGCATTGGACGACTGCTTGAATGCTGTTTGCACAGAGCTGGCCATAGCTGAGCTCTGATGGTATGATTTGTAGGCCAGCCTTGCTCACGAAGTATAAGTTTAACCTGTAAAAGTTCATTTTTCATAATATAGAAATACATTACAGCAAACTAACACAACTATTGGTAGGGTTTTGAGCAAACTGACCTCCCTCTTTCTCCCAGCTTGGATTAAGGAGTTTATTTCACTCCATGTCTTCAGAGGCTTGGCATTCTTTTTGGCTGGACTATCAGGAACAATTGGAATACTACTTGTGTCCACATGAGCTGGGAACACCTCATACATATCGGACTCTTCTTCTAGTGTCGACAGCATCACTGCCATCTAACCCGTTAGGCCTATGTTTGATCAAATAGCATCATTGTTTCTGTAAGAAAGAGAATATGCAGACAAAATTAATGGTCACTACCTGAGGAATTCAGTCACTCTAATACTTATCTGACCCAAGTACCTCATAAGATCATCTCAAATAAACAAAAAAATGTATTTAAAATTGTATTGATTAACACTTTACAACATGGTGAATTAACATTTTGAACTTTTAACAGTCTGTGTTGTTAATAATTTGCACTCTAATTCCATAAAATTTACATTGACTATATGGCCAATTGCTTTCAAATTATAAATCTGTTGATTCCACCACATTGCACAGCTGCCCTGATCACATGAAGCTGATGCTCTTGCTGATACAGGCTAGTTCCATCCGCATTCTTATCTGACCAGTGACAACAAAAACACATGGTGAGTGTCTTGGCTTGGGGCTCTGATTGAGATGGAGAATGCAATCAAAAATGGAGAATATACACAAAGCAGTACTAAGAGCAAGGGAGTGCTTTTCATCTGCATTTATGGCGAGGAAAGAATGAAAGAATAAGAAATCAAAAAGAACATGTGTAAACGGAAAAGATGATATATATGAAAGAATACATAAAAAAATGAGAGACAGGTAAAAAAGGGCACAAGGAAAAGAAGTGAAATAAGATCATTCATTGAGTAAAGGAAAAGATAACAGTGAGGGAATGGTTGATGCAATGCTATTGAAAGTGTGGAAAAAGCTGTTGAATGACAAACAATATTTGCGGGATAACCCAATAGGTGTAAATTGACTTCAATAAGAATATAACGTGAGGAACAGATTGGTAAACGGAAAACTAGAGTGAAAAACAAATTGCAAAATTCATAGGTTATGTATAAATGAACGAATGTTGAAAAGTGTAACTTAAAGTCTTAAAGTAGCTGCGCAAACAGATGTAAATGCAATGAAATAACCATAAAATTTACAAGGATCAATACTCTACGTGAGTATTAACCGGTTCGCATTCTGCAATTTGAATTGACAAGGGTTTTCAGAAAGGCGGACAAACAGGGGGTCGTTGAAAAACTCAACTTCTCAATCAGTCCGTAAAGAGTCGTTATTTCAAGTTTCCACAAATGACTTCTAAAGTCCTTGCCATTGTTCAAACGAACAAAATAAGTACCAAGACAAAAATGTGTCAAGAATTAGTACTGTTTACCTTTCCGTCAGAGTCAACAAACACAGCGGACATTCAGACTCGCGACCTTTCAGCCGCTTTCAGATTTCGGCAT